TTCAAATTTTTGTTTCATCAGAGATGATTCAACTTAAGTTTAGTTTTTTTTTTTTTTTTTTCTTTCTTTGAATTAATTAATTCTTCAGCTATCTGTTTTCTGTTCATCTATCTGACTTATCATTGTGATAATTTATAATGATGTAAACAAATTTTACCATGAATTTGAAAGAATTAATAATTAATATTTAATGAATCAGATTTAGACTAAATTTTGCTTTTCTTATTTTGAAAATGATCTCAGACTTTTTGCATTTTTTTAGAAACATGATAAATTTGTTATTATTATTATTGGAAATGATTAAATCAATAGAATTTTCAATTATAAATTCCTTGCTTCAATCGTCATATTTTGCTTTCTTTCTTTTTTTTTTTTGCTTAATTTTTGTCAAATTAGGGTTAATTAAACTAAAGTTTTATTAAATAATAAATATTACCAATTTTTTCTCGCCTTTTTTTGTCTTGTTGAAATTTTTTAAAATTTTCAAACGTCATTTTTATTACTTTATTACCTTAAAAATTATTTCAAATCAATTTTTTTACTGTTTTTTCTTTTTTTTTTTTTTTTTATGGGTATATCAAAATTTGTCGTCATGAGTGGAAATGAATAATATAATGTGATAAATTAAATTTGCATAATAAAAGCATCAAAAAAAACACTTCATTCACTTATTTTTGCATCGAATAAATTGTAAACAATTTTATTATTAAATTTAATGATAAATATGGTGGTGCTATTTGTAAGTTATTTATATTTATTGCAAGATAATGGAGTAGTGATTAGATTAACCACTGACCATTGACCATTGACCATTGACCTTTCTGATTGTTTATGAGTAATTAATTAGCTACCTTTAATCAATACAAATTCTGTTTTTCTTTCCAATGTAATTTATGTTAAATTAATTTACTTCGTTGATTTCAACTTGGTTAAAGTGAATTTATCATTGAAAAAGTGAGAAAATTTCGAATGTGTTATTAATTAAATCAAATGAGCGATTTAAATCAGAAAAAATCAATACTTTATTTTGCAGAGAAAAATTTGATACTTTGCAAAGTCAATATTTTATCCCTTCTCTCTCTCTCTCTCTCTCTTTTTATTTTGTCATATTTTCTTTTTTTTAAGAAAGAGGGAGAGAGGAAGTAAGAGGTTTATGTTCTGTCTAACTAACCTATGTAGTTTGATTACTTTTTTTTTGTTTTTTAGCCAAAATGATGCTTTTATCTTACTTAATAATTCTATGATAATATTCTATCATTTTAAATGAGCGAAAAATTTGACAATTTGTAATTTGAACTGAAGTAGTTTTTTTTCTTTTTTTTTTTTATTAAAAAATAGCAAACAGATTTTTTTTTTTTTGATTTTTAATAGCAAATTTTATTTAAATGCAAAAAAGAAAAAATTATTTACTTTTTTTGAGATGAATATTTTGGCAAAATTTTAATTTTTGTTTTAAAAGAAATTATGATAGTAAAAATTTTTAAATAGCAATCAATAATTACATATGTATATACTCATTAAATAGAAAATAGTAAATGAAGTATGTCAAGCCGGAAAAGTTAGTAAATAAAGTAAAAGCTGACAAATTCATTGCAAAAAAAAAGTTTTTTTTTTCCGGATGAGATAGAAGGTTGGCCAAATTTAGATAATGATTACTTCATTATTTATTACAAATTTGTTACGTTTTTTTCGAAATGAAGAGTTAGCTGAACATGTAAATAGAATAATTAAATTAATCATTTAATTACAAATTCATTGCGGAATTTTTTTTCCGGATGATTGGAAAAGTTAGCTAAGTATTTGACTAAAATGATTGAATTCAATTTTTATATTTGATATTTACATATATAAATATTGCTAAAATATATAGGATGACAAATATTCAAATTTTATTAAAATTGAAATTGAAATTTTGTAAAAATTCTTTAAATTAATAACATTCAAAATTTTTTGAGCACAAATAATGAATATCAAATCATTTATGAATTTTATGCTGCAAATATTTTAAAAATTAATCATATTAGCTGTTTTATAGCAATAATTTGAAAAATCTGACTAGGGGAATGTTAAATTGCTGATAAAAATTATGTATTTTTGTGCAACAGTGCTCGTAGTGTGACAATTGCGCAACAAAATGATAAAATAAAGAATTGTATATCATTTATTATGTTTGAACATATCATTATATTTTTATGTATATTTATTTATTTGTTTATTTATTAATCACTTTTTTACTTATGCAACATTCCTATCATATTAATTTCTTAGATAAACATTGTTTTATTTTTTTTTCTCTCTAAAAAAATTTTTTTTTATTACTTTTCATTTATTATGAGTCAAAAAAAAAAAGCTTTCAATCAATTTATTTTGAAATGAAAATTAATTTTTAAAATAAAACACAAACATTTAGAGTTATTGTTATATTAAAATTAATTATTCTAGAAATTTCTGAAATCATTATCGAACGCAAAAGCTGCTAAATCAATTTCCAAATCAAATTCTTCTTCAAAAGGAATTTCATTTCAATCCAACACATCCACTGTATGTTCCTTTTTTTTTTTTTTTTGCTCTCTCTCTCCCTAGTTAATCATTACAATAAAATGAAAAATAAGCAAATTCTCATTTGTGTGTTTTTTTAAAGTATGCATGCACGAATGCATGCATGCATGCATGCATACTTTTGTTTTCCATAGCTTTGCTCTTTTTTCCTGCTAAGTTCGATAGAATGAAATATTTGTTATAAGTTTAATTTACAGCAATAAATTGAATTTATATACTTTAATAGAAAAAATTTCGTTCAAAATTTTATTCTTTTTATTTATTTCACTTTTTTTTTTCTTTATATATTTTTTAAAATTGGCGTCTCTTTTTTTTTTTTTTTTGTTATATATAATTTTTGTAGATTTATTTCATTGAATTAATTTGATCTAATTAAATTTTATGATTTATTTACGAAGCTCTTTCTTTTTTTGTTTCCAAAATTATTGTCACCTATTGCTTTTGAAATGAAACTTTTTTAATTTCTAATTTTTAAAATTGATTTGGTAGAGAAAATAAAACTGAATAATATATGGATAGCTTCTTATATCATATAGTAATTTTTTTCATAATATATGCAAATTTCGAAGCTTTTTTGAAATATCATGTTTTTTTAAAATTTTGTTGTTTGTAATGCATTGAAATCCCTAAGATACTTCTTTTTATTAAAATTTTCCAACTAAAATCTTAAACTTCTGGGAAAAATTAAAAAAACGAAACATATGGGAATAATCGAATTTTACCACTAAATAAATTTGCATATTTCGATCCCAAAAATTTGTGTAATAAAATTTTATTTATTCTTATTTGCTCTTTTCGCAATCACTTAAAATTTAGTTTAAAAAATTTTTCCTGCTGACAAAAAAAAAAAAAAAAAAATTATCAATGATATCATTGTATATCTTATAAGAAATCATAATTTAGAACTACTTATGAATTTAATGAAATAATTTAAACGATTCTTCTTACAAGCCATCGTGTGGCAACAATCAATATAAACAGAATGCTGCAGTAAGTAATTAGTAACTAATACTAACATAAGTTAATTACCAATTAAAATTTTAAGAAGTTTCATATATTGTAAATGCCAAATGCTTATTTAATTAATAATTTTTATCATTGATGTATTTTAAATGTAAATAAACTTTTTTCTCCCACTTATTTGAAACATTCTGTTTTTTTCCCTTTTTTTATGAATATAAATTTTAATTTTGTGGAGTTTTTTTTTCTTTTTTAACTTATAAGTTTGCATTTTCAATTTAAATTCGAAACTTTTTTTTTTCTGTTTAACTATTAAATTTCAATAAAATTAATTGCTAACAATGGAAAAAAAAAAAAAAAGAAAGAAAATAAGCAAAAGAAATAGTTGAAATATTTTTGAAATGCACTTTACGCTATGACATTTTAATCATTGCTAAATCATTTTTTTATCTCTTCCGATCTCCTTCTCTTAAATAATCATTTTATTCCTCTTGCATCTTCAAATATTTTATATCCCAGGAATATCTGTATAGCAAACATTACTGTCTATTTTGTTAGCTTTCAAAATTTTATTGATAACGGAAATCAATGAGTTTTTCTTTTTAATTTTTTTTTTTTCTTCATTTCATGCATATCTATCTAATCTTTCTCTCTCTCTCTCTTTCCCTCTCTCTCCTTCTCTCTCTCTCTTTCTCTTTCTTTTTGTCTCTTTTTATAAATTTATGTGTTTATGCAGCAGTCCTAGTATTTACTTGATAAATAGCAAAATAAGAGCCTTAAGGCTTAGTTGTTGGCATGTATATGCAATCCATAAAATGGAAAGATTTTTTCCAACTCTTTCACACTTATTCTAAATTCACTCACTTCATTTTCTCTCTTCTTTTTTATCCTTACTTTTTACTTTTTTTCTTTTTATTTCTCTTTTTTTTTTTTTTTTTTATTGTTTTATTGTATTTCTAAAATTTGAAAAGTTCAAAACCACTTATTGTTTTATTGTATTTTAAATTTTAAAAAAGTTGAAAAAAAGATATTTTGTGAAAATAAAAATAATATAATTAAATTGCTTTTAATAGGAAAATTTTTTCGAGAGAAAATAACACAAAAAATGTTATCATATCGAATTGAATGAATGATAGTTAATTTTATGAATTTGTTATTATTAAGAGAAAAATTTAAAATTCTACACAAATTATTATTTTATCATAATAGCAAACAAGTTAGCAATGAATTGCAAACTAGCACGCTATAAATGCATGCAATAATTTGGCAAATTAGAATTATGAATTGCAGTTATATGCAACAAATTAACAATTGAAATTTTAGAATAACGCAAATACATATGGGAATAGCAGCACTTATAAACGCTAATTTGTTTTGTTTTGTTTTTTGTTTTTTTTTTTTTTTTTTTTTTTTTTATGATAAATAAATTAGAAATTGAAATGCACTGATTTTAAACTTGCAAAAAAAATAGGATATGATTAATGATTGAAAGGAAAAAAAGAGTAAGCTATTAGTTTATTGTTATATGACGATAATTTATCTTTGGTAGTGAATAAACAAGTATTTAAGTTAATGATTTCAAATATTGCTTAGTATAAACTGGATGAAAATGATGCGAAAAAACGTGAACAGCAAAGATTAGCACAGAAATTGGATGATGATTCAGCAGCTATCTATAATGATATTAATTCCAGCAGTGGAATGGTTAAAATATATTTTACACCGTTTGTTTTCATTTTTTAATTTTAATTTCAATTCAATTACTTGTTAAGTTTTTTTTTTTTTCTTTTTTAAATAGACAAAATATTTGGTATTAGATATAAGTAGGTAAAAAAAAAAGAAAATTAAAGAAGAGGATGGTAAATTTAAGAATAATTTGACGAAGTGATTGAAACTGTACAGATAAAACATAATCGAAGTAATGAAATTAAATAATCTATCATTAATCTCTAAAACTGTCATATAAAAAATTGAGAATGAAGAATCTACACTGGGTATTAATTACTTTTTTAAGAAACAAAGCGGTCTTCTTTGAATTATTTTTCAAATGAATAAAACATTAAATTTGATTTTTACCTCTATTTTACTGCTTTTAGTATTAACTTCTTACACCGATCGGTGTAGAAAATTTAAAAGAAATTAAGTGTTTTTAGTTTTTTAGTTTCTCATAATTTAATTAATATTGAAACGATAAAAAAATCATAATTTTTAATAGTGAAGTATATTGTATAAGAAGATGAAATTAATTTTTTTTTTTTGAAAAATACAATTAAATTGATCGTTTTTCCTAGAATTTTTGTAAATTATATTTTTTATTCAAGTGTAGCAAAAAAGAAAGTATTATTTTATTTAAATTAGTAAAAAATGAAATAAAATGAATTTAAAATTAAAATTATTTATAGAAATGAATTATTAAACGAAGCAACATGTGCAAATGTAATTTCATCAACGTTATCATCGTCATTGCCAGAAAAATCAATAACAATGATCGGTGTACCGGATTCGGAATTTTCCACTGATAATGCAACTAGTAACAGTACTGATAAATGTCACAAAGATAGTAACATTGATAACACTGATAATATTGGTAACAAATTTTCGTAGTTTTCTTTTTCTCATATTTAATTTATAATAAATTTCATTTTAATTTTGAAATTTCATTTTCGCTATTTTACAAATACTTTTTTAAAGTTCTTTTGATAAGTTTAAAAATTTAAGTTTAATTTTTTTATTGCATTTTCGTAGTGTATGAAGGCAAAAATTTCAGCAGATTTTTTGTTGAAGATTTTATAAAAGTAGTTGAAGTTTATTTTTCAAAAAAAAAAAAAGAAAGAGAAAAACAAAGAAATGAAAAATTATGGCTAACTTATGATGCATTGTTATATAAAATACCAAATTTTATTTTAGTATTAAAGTTTTATTTATAATTTTACGTTTATTAAAATAACTCAGAATTTGATAATAATTTTTCAAATACTTAATTTTAATATTTCAGTGGGCAAACCATTCCACTCTTTTTTTTTTCTTTTCAGAAGCTAAAGTGCTATGTCAATGTCAATCACATTTAGGCCGAATATTTCTAGATGAAGTTTATCCATTAACAACAGAACAACTGTTTACCATACTATTTTCACCCATACCATGGTATCAACATTTTGATGAAATTGTCAACAAAACAGGTAAATATCTAAATTTGAAGAAAAAATATTATTTAAAATTTCAGTTAGTAAATAATTTTGAGTTTTGAATTCCAAGTTTTTTTAATATTTTTCTTTAAATTTATTGGTGGGTAAACGATGTAATGTATCACTTAAAATTTTAGCACATGGAAAAACGCTTAATATAGTAACTGGTAAGTAATTTTATTTTTTTGATATTTCATTTTCACTCTTTTTTAATCAGTTTCGTTTTTATTTTCACTTTATTTTTTCACTTATGATATTATTATCATTTGATTAAAATAATTATCTACTTTTACCTTTTCAATTATTTGTTATCACTCATATTTGATCAATTAAATTACAATATAATTATTGCAAAGGTTATATGGCAACATCATGGGTAACAGAAAATCCTACTGTTACCACGCGAACAGTAACCTATAACATGGCACTAAATAACGCTTTAGGTCCAAAAAGTACGTCAGTTACTGAAAAACAGGTTATTTATTTCAATTTTTTCACTTTTTTTTTAATTCTATTAAAAAATAATTACATACTTAAAATTACATACTGAAAAATTACATACTTAATTTTTTTTTTTTTTAATTACTCATCTTGTTCCTTTTTTTTTTTGTAAATTTACGTTTTGTATTCTTTCACAGTGCAATTAAACTTTACCCATCATCGTTCTCTATAGCATAAAACCCTATCTACGTCTCTTTATATTATCAAATGTTACTTTCTCGTGTTGTATTTCAGACATGTCACTCATTTCACGGTACCGATAAAGGATTTAGTGTAATGAAAGAGATTCAAAACGCTGGCATACCATACGCTGATAATTTTGCCATTCAATGTACTTATTGTATAATTCGGGCAGGTAACATGCATTCCAGGTTACTTATACATGGCACAATAATACAAAAGAAAAATATTTGGGGTATTGTTAAAGGTAAATATTTTAATTCATAATTTAAACAAGAATTTAAGTTAACACAAATACACACAAAACGAAGATCTTAGATAGGAGCAATAGACATGACTTACTTACCGTAGTAATATTTTTGAAGCTACCGTAATACTGTCTACTGTATGCTTATGTTTATTAACATAGAACTGTTTTAAATGATTTCGTAAACGATATTCGTTTTTGATGCTTAGCTAGCAGTAGACGGTAAACGTATTGCATGTGAAGTAACTAGCCACGAATATAGTGCAATATTGTTAGTTACGTTACGTGCAATACGTGTAATGTTGTTAGTTACGTTACGTGCAATACGTATGTTGTTTTTCCTTTTTCTAGCGTACAACTAACTACATTGTAATTACATATATACATTGCATATTTCTGCATAAGTAACAAATCAATATATTGTATTTTTTTTTCTTTTTATACTTTATACTTTAACTAGACACGTATACTACGTGAGTGACGTTATATTAATATTTTTTTTTTTCTGATCAATTTAGGCATATTAATTAGGGATAGCCATAAATTTGGCATAATAATTGATTTAAACAATAGTTTCAGGAATAATTGAAAAAAGTACGTATAGTGGATTAGGAACACATTATACTGTATTAAAAGAAACATTAAAATTACTGTGTGATGAATCACTTGAAGTAAAACAATCTACCGTATCGGAATGTGAAACAAGCAATAATTTGTTACCAAACAAATTATTAAATCGGTACGCTAATATTGATATTTCATTTCTCTCTACTAAAATTGCACGAATTGGAAAATGTAAAAAAAATAAATAAATGTTTATAATATTACTTTAAGGACAAGTCATTTATCAATTAAAATACATCAATTTGAATATTTTTTCAATTTTTTCGAAATTTTATACCCATACATTCTTAATTATTAATCAGCATATGCTTCTTTCGTATGTGTATATTACTCTTATCACTTTTCATACTATTTCCGTAATTTATTTTTTTTTTTAAAAAAAAGAACTAATAATATTAAATAATAACAATTGATTGTTCAATGATCATTATTTATCGAGGTGACTTTTTTTTCTCTCTTCTTTTTTATCATAAACATTTATGAAAATTATTGATTGTATTTTTTTTTCTAATGTGAAAATTCGAAAAAGTCACCTCTTGACTGTTTGAAATATATCATAAATTATTTAAAATAGAAATAAATTTTATTTTATTCTTTTCGACACATCTGAAAACGTTTCATTTCATGTGTGAAAATTTTTGACGTAAAAATTTTATTTATGATTATTGCATTTTCAGATATGCAATTAAATTTCATTTAAAAAAAAGATGAAACTGAAAGATTTAGTAAGTTTTTTCTAAAAATCCAAAAAAACGAGAGCTGTTTTGGGTGGATTTTATTCTTCGCACAAATTTATGATATTAAAAAAATGAAAATTTTTCTTTTTTTTTTTTTTTTTTTTTTCTGGAAAGTACAAAACAACACCTGCTAGTTATTATATCTGCAGAAAGTACAACAATATCAAAAACGGTACTATTACGGAACACAATAATTCAACCGGTGCTCATTATCAGTCGATGTTGCTGAATCCGATTATCAATTCTGCTGATAATATCAGTCAGTTTTCCATCATATCATTCCAGTGGGAACTAACATTGTAAACTTTAAAGTGGAAACTAACAAATTATCTTATTCTGTTTTCAATATTAAAAGATATAAGTTACTGATTTTCATTTTCAAATATGACATTTTGAATTACTATTTTAAAATTCACTTTAGAAATGTTTGTTTTCTATTAAATACATTACTTACAGATTACATTTATGAGAATATTCATTAAAAAAAAATATGTTGTATTTAAATTTTATTACGTTGGGAAAAAAAGCACATCTAATTTAATATTTCGAAGTTATATCACAAAAAAATGTCTCGAATTTAGATTTTAATTTTAAAATACTTTTATTTCAAGAAATTAATTGTAGCATTAATTTTACAGAATTTAGCTATCTTAGAGAAAAGACAATAGGCATGATGATAGATATAAGCAAGAGAAAATCTTTTCTAATTTTTTTTCAAAGATCTAAAAACCTTAATACATCATCGTTCCCAGAATTACTAATTTTATCATTAAATTAATTTTACAAAATAATTCCTTAGCAAATCAATTATCAGCTATGTCACATAAAATAGTATATATAAGATTGTGACATGATCAATTGCTTCTCAAAGTAATCGATTTAATTTGATAATAAAATTGTAAGTGTATAAAAATATTATGTATTATTATTACGATTACTATTACTATTATACTTACATTAAATTACTGTTACATTCATATTATAAATGTATGTATCATGAATATATTGTAGAAATTTGATTGTATAAATTTAAAATGCTGATCTTCATACTAGTTTACAACTAACTGTATTACTGATTATTGATTATTGTGTTATTAATTAATAACATGAGAAATTGAATCAAATTTCTATCAAAAACATAAAATTTTAAACAAATTGATTAAATTTAAGTAAGTTCAAAATTTTTAAAAGATTTTTAAACATTATAAATTGAAATCAAAAAAAAAGAAAAGGATGGTAGAAATTTTAGATTTTGTACTAAAAAAAAAAAAAAAAAAAAAATTGCTTATATTTTCTATGCTTTGTATATTTTCTTTTTTATTTTTTAAATTTATTAAAATTGAAGTGAATTCATTTAGATGTAACAAAGTCAACAACAACAGCAAGATCAACAAATGATAATAGTTGCTTTTGTGATAATGCTACTGTGATTACAAATAATGCTCAAACACAAACATTAAATTATTTTAGTAATAAGGAAAGTATTGGTTATTCCAATAGATTTGTTATTATTTTGTAAGTTTTTTTTTTTTGTTTTCTTTTTCGTATTTTTCTTCTTTGAAATTTATTCAGAATTTTTCTTTAAATTTGTTTTAAAAATTGACATTTTCTATGATAAATTTAATTGTAAAATAGTTATCCATGAAATGTTAATAATTGCTACTTTATTCATTTATTTATTGATTTTTCTTCCTGAAAGACTTTACAAAATTAATGAAAAAAGTGTTTGCAAAACAAACTTTCAAATCTGATATTAAATTTTTTCCGTCACTAAAAATAAATGCAAATTTGTAAATTGAGAACTAAATTATTTTAATGAAAGAATAATTATTTGTAGAAATTTTTCGAATTTTTTTTCCCCCAAGAAGAAAGGAATTAAAAATTTTAATTTAAAAATTTTCAATTTAATTTTTTAGGTTTCATTCTGATTATAAACTAAGTTTATTGTTTATAGACTTTCAGTATTAATTTGTTTGCAAGTTTTCACTTATCTAAAGATCTCATATATTTTGGATACTCATTGCTCCAGTTCCAGTGAAAATTCCGCTGCTTTCATTAATAGAATTCAACATCCGTAAGTTAGTAAAATAATTTTGAAAAATTTTATTATTAGATAAATTTAAATTGAAGTATTGCTGAATTTAACTTATTTAACGATTAATAATTATTTTGCATAGTGATTTAAATTTGCAGGAATGATTTATCAGTAGATGCACAGAATCTTGAACAATTACGATTGACTGGCAAAAATATCATCTTCAAAGATGATTTATAAACTTTCCTGAATCATTTTGCTTAATTTTAAATTAATTTCAGTTTTTGATTGCATTATTGTAACCAAAATAAATCTAATTTTGTCAATGTAATTTGATTTTAATAAATAAATTAATTAATTAGCAAAATAATATATGTTTTTTTTTTTTTTTTTTTTTTTTTTTTTGTTGCATTTTTCTAATTCTCGAACAGAATTTAGCTAAAAAAATTTTTGTTTTTCCTCCTTGTTAATTTAGTAAAATTTTGATGTCATCAAATTGTTGTAAAATTTTAAATATCAACTAGAATTGAAAGTTTCATTGTAAGTCTGAAATGCAAGTAGAAAGAAAAAACGAATGAAATAATAAATTATGTTTTGGTTTTTTCATTTTTTTTTTTTTTTTGTTTTTTGTTTTTTTTGTTTTAATTTTATTCAATGATTGATATTTATAAAGAATTAATTGCTTGTTAAACATTGAGCAAAACTCTTTACTTTTTATCGAAACATATTTTATACTTCCAAGACAAAAAGTAATTTACATATTTTAAATTATCAAATTAACAATTTAAGAAACAACTTATGCATTTTATTCAACAACAACCTGCAATGGAAGTAAATTTGCAATTAATAACAGTTAAATATTCTTTAAAACAATATCAAAGAAATAATAAAAAAAAGGCTAGTAAGTGATAGTTTTTATGTGTTCTAAGTTTTTTTTTAGCAAGATTTTAATAATTTTTTCAAATTATTTTCTTTTTTTTAAACTTTTTCTCTTTTTTTTAATAGTGAAAAAATTTTCGTATGATAATTAGATTGAAATTAACAAATTAATTATTAAATGATCCAGGTGAACAAGGTGATGCTACTATTTTTAGACTTCTTCTTCCAATTTCAGGTGGTTTATAAAGTGGTGAACCTGGTGGAGCTGTTGAATCACTACGTTTAAATGTTAACGATCGTTGAGATAAATTACATCCTAAATTACATCTGAAAATTTTAGATGTAAATTTAATATTTTCAATTGTTAACAATCTCATGTTAGAAATCACCTTGTAATATTTATTTTCATATTCTAACTCAAATTTTAGATTATTCAAAAAAAAAAAAAAAATTATTTTACTCTAAATTATAAACACCGAATTTTAAATTGTGATTTAATAGGAAGGAAATTAATTTGATAATTAAAAAAAAAAAAAAAAAAAAAAAAATGTATTAATTGCAACAAATATTCCATCAAATAAATATATTTCATAAAAAAGATAATATAAATTGTTAATATTTGATATGAATAAAAATATTGACCAACAAAAAAAGATAAAAACAAATTTAAGTCGCAAAAAAAAATTGTCACAAAATTTGAAAATTATTTTTTTTTTTTAATTTAAAAAAGAAAAAAAATGAAAAAGATAAATGGATGAGCAGAAGAAAAAAAAAGGAATAAAACTTACAAATTCCTATAATTTGTTGTTAAACTATCATTATTCTTACAATTGATCAATGTATCATTTGAACAATCATTATCGTTATCATCATTATCATCAATCTTTTGAGTTAATAAGTCTTTACAATTATCATTATCATCATCATCATCATCATTATCATCATTACTTTCATCATCAATATTAAATTCTGTATTGGCAGTAAAATAGGTTGTCATATCACTTACACCATCAATACTGGAAACCTACGAACAACGATTGCTTTTATTCTTGATTTTTTTTTTTTTTTTTTTATAATTTAAATTTCACTTTAATTAATAATTCTCTATCGTAACATCATTCTGCTAGTAAATTAGTCAAATAATCGATTATTGAAATGAGTTTAAATCTGAAATACATAACAAATTTAAATTTGTCAAATTTGAACTTTCAATTAATATATAATTAAATTTTTTATCAGTTAACCAAAACAATAAAACATAAATATTTTCAATTAATTTTTTTTTTCAATGAGATAATTGCAAAATTATTTACTTAACACCATAAATTAATTTTAAGATTAAGTTAGAAAATAATTTAATTATACAAAAAAAAGAGAGATGAGATAATAGTTCGCTATTTCATTTATTACCTAAACAAATAATAAATTAAAATTATAATTACAAAATAGTATCTAATTTTTTGAAACAATATTCTTTTAATAATCCTTTTAAAAACGTAATAACATAACTGTAATAGATATTATCTGATGAAATAAAGAAAAAGAATTTAAAGAAATGAATTACTTAAAGTAGCTAATAAGTATTAAATTAAAACTTTGAAAAATACAAATAAAATATTTGTACTATTATTTGATAAAAAATTTCATTTCAATTATTTTTTTTTCATCAATTTAATTGAAATCTATTGTCATATATTGAATTCACTAAGAATAGAGTGAAAAAAAAGGAATGGAAATTAAAATGTTAAATGCAAATTTCAATGAAATAATTTCGTTTATTTGTTATTTCTATGTTTTTCATATTAATTAATTACTCTTTTTCACAATTTAAATTCCATAATATTTTTAATAATTTAAATTTTAAAAAGTGAATTGATTTCATGTAATACATTTAATGTTCTGAATTATATGCATATATCATAAACCTACTCTTGAATTGGTTGTTTGTTGTTGAATTACCGCTTCAACAATTAAAGCATTTTTTGATTCTGTTAATTTTAAATCATCAGCAATATTCCGGGTCGGTATATTAGTATCAAGTTGCTGATCAGGTTCCGGTAAAGCAAAATCATTTTTGATCACATGTGCTGGTTTCTGATCTAAAAAAAAAAAAAGGAACGAGAAGTTATATAATAAATTTAAATTTAAAATAATTTCATTTCGTAGCAAAATTATTATTCATGAATAATTTCATTTTTTTTTCTTTGATTTGCAAGGGCTAATAAATTAAGATTTAAGTAGAAAAAAAGAATAAAATTCATCATTTTAAAATATTAGCAAATATATTTTTATTATCAAAATATACTTTAATTAATATTATGGATTGATGAGAATAATCAAAAACATTTCATTAGATCATTGTTTTTTTTGCAACTTTTTCAAGAATAAATAAATTTTTTGAGTAATAAACATTATCCATACTAATTAAGTTTAAAAAAAAAAACTTTAGTCTGTTGATAATTTAAAAATAATGATACCTTTATAACAATGTTCAACAAAATCTGAAACTTTTTAAATGCCAAAATATTTTCTTTTCCCAATTAGGTTTAAATTTAAATTCAAAAAACAAAAAAAAAAAAAAAAAAAAAAAATTAGAATCAATAATTACTTCTTTCCTGATTGCTCAAAAACAAGAAAAACGGAAAACATACTACTTGCAGCTGGAAGCAATGGCGAATTTTCTAGATCTTTAGATGGAGCTGAAAATTCGAATGATATTATTGCTTCATAATTTGAAAGTTTAAATTAAAAAAAAAAAAAGGAAAAACATTTTTTGTTGCTTTTTCTCATTTATTTTTTTATAATATAATTTTTGAATTGCTAAAATTTTATAAGAAATTAGAAATTTTTTAAGAAGAAAAATTGTTTTTCAAAAATTTCAAATTTTAAATGAGAAAATATTTGAGCAATTTTAAAATTGAAACCAATATTTTCGAGATCTTTTGATGATGGCATTGGTGATTGCTCATGTAATAATCCTTTATGCTTCCACAAACAGAATATACCAGCCAAAATTATCAGTAGAATTAAAGTGATAATAAATGGTACTATCCACCCTTAAATTAATTACTACTATTTATTGATAATTATCAATATTTGATTTTTTTTTGTCAAAATTACTGATAATTAATATTAATGAGCAATTTTGATTTTAAATCTTGAATTTGAAGCAATAATTTCTTTCGCGGAATTCGACTTATTTTTCCAAAGAATATCATTTAATATTGAAAATTTGATGAAAATAAATTGGCTTAGTTTGATTAGAATTTAAAAAATGGTAAATGATTTATTGAAGTTTCAAAATTATTATTTATTTTTCTTTTTTTGATATTAATAGGAAACACATGAATACCTGATATTTTGTTTAAAATAAATTAGCAAAAAATGATCAAATTAGTGTCTCAGAACAAATTATACTATTTTAAACAATTATAAAATTAACGATTAAAATTTCCATTTAAGTTAAAAATTAATTTCTCACATTCCGATTCGTTCATTTCATCATCATCAATCTTATCATTATCAAATGTTCTTTGATAAGATTCAGTGATAAACGGTGAATCCCAAACTGGTGCCGTTACAGTGTTTAATATTGCTAAAAAAATTGCAAAAATTTAACGAAAAATTTAGAAAAAAAAATTTTGATTTGAAAATTTGAAGTTTTTGACTAAAAAATAAAAACAATTAACAAATAGTTGCAATTCTTATTTTTCATACTTGAATAATAAGAAAAATTAAAAATTTTCATTTTTTTGTCAACTTTTTTTAAAATTGAAAAGCATAATTTCCCATTCTCAATTGTACTAAAATTCAAATTCACTTAAATGCATATTTAATTCATATTGTCATTTTAATTATTTTTGCTTTAGTTCAATCAATTAGTTGATTTATATACATCAACTTTTAACTTTTCGTTATTTTAATTATTTTTTTCTAATTATTTTTTTTAAAATCAATTTTTATACCTAATTTTCTAATCAATTTTTTCTAATCATTTTTTTTTTAATCCATTTTTACATCCAATTTTAGAATTAAATATTCAAAATAATTATACTTTTCAATTATTTGAAATTTATCCTCAAAATTAATAAAAAAAAAAAAAAAAGATAATCTCATTTAATTAATGCAATAATTACAATCTATAATAATACTATAACAAATATATTTTGTAATTAGAATTTGTTGCATAAATGTAACGCCAAGGAAGAAAAAAAAAATAATTAAATTTATAAAAATGAAAATATAAAATTTCTTACGTGGCAAATTTCCAGGAATTAAAAATGAATTACATGCACCCAATTGAATTTTATTACCAATAATTGTTACCGATTCAGCAAATTCAAGTTCCGGTTTATGCAAAT